GAGTGAGTGACGTGCAGGCCCGTGTGGGGAACATGCACTCCCAGAATCAAGAGAAGAGCCGACGTGCTCCGGTGCCACTGCTTCTCCACTCAGATTAGTCAGAGGGTTGGGGCTGAAGTGGCCCATGGCTCAATGGTCATGGGACCCAAGCCCACTCCCCAAATCAAGGCTCATTAGACGACCTTCCTCTTATTCCCGGGCCTCTCTAAGGGGTAGGGTCTGTAGAGATAAGCCCACTTTTGAGTCAAAGTGGGGTGCCATCTGCTTGGCTGGCTGCCTGCCCACTGAGGCCCTGGGGAGGGGCAGGGAAGAGGCTGGAAGAAAACCTGTGGACAGAGGGCAGGGAGATGGGACTCAGCTCCGAGTGTTGTGATTGAGAGAAGAATGCAAGATCAGACTGAATGTGCTGGAGGGAGTAGAGGACCCACAAGCTGGGGGATGAATGGGCTTGCCTGGAGTCCTGCTCCCCACCCTGTTTGTGGGCACAGCCACGGGGTCACTAGGTCACTAGGATGACTCCTACCTGTGGCTTTCGGATTTCGTCTGCCTCCCTTCCACACCCCTTTCCCTGCACTTCCTTCTCTGATCTCCCTTCCCCCTTGGGGCCTTCCAGTTGGATATAATGACTTTCTTTCTTTCTTTCTTTCTTTTTTAACAAAACAGAACAAAACCAAAATATGTCTAGACAACTGTGTTTTGTTGATTTATTTACCATTAAGGGACCGGGTGACAATGAATCCAAAGGGCTAGTGGAGCACAGGCACCACAGCCTCCACTAGCCTGAGACCAGAAGAACTAGATGGTGTCCGGCTACCACTGCAGGCTAAAGATCCGGGACAGAGTGGGAAGACAATGTAGAAGGGACTAGAGTGGCAGCGTGGCCCTTACAGGGGAAACTAAACCCGTTCCCAAAAACCACCTTTCAGCCAAACAATAGGCCTACACAGTGAGCAGTAAGGCCAGGAAGAAGGCGCCCCTCAGAACAATCACACGCGGTAGGTAGAAAGGGCCCCTGGGTCCCAAAACAAAGTTCCCAGGGCGGGAGGCCTGGTGAAGGGGAGGGCCTGAGGGAGAATGGGAAGAGTGATGCTGACTTGAGGGGGTTCTAATTGTCACCAAAATATGTGTAAATTGCAGAGAAACTAATTTGTAAACTTTCACCCAAACCACAATAAAAATTTCTTTAACAAGAGCGCCGCATAATGTACCCAAAGTGCGGTGGGAGTGGAGGGCAGATTCAGGGAGGTGGGCACTGTCATCCCCTCTGCCAGCCTATTCCATATGGTCAAGGGCCAGGAGCCCACCTTTTTCCAGGGTACCCTCTTCCTTGGGGCATCCCATCTCCAAATCTGCCCCATATGCTCCCACCCTCGGGTGGGGGGAAGGGGACTGGTGTGGGAATGGTGTGGTCTCCCCACCTGCTCTGCAGGGTGAGGATTGGGTTTGCATCTGGATTTGATTTCTTAGTTCTGTGTGTGTGTGTGATAGAGGCAACATTGCCCTGTAGTTAGGGGGCCAGTCAGCTCTCCATCACATTCCACAACTCTATGACTGTTTAGAGTCCAGTCCGGGGTGGGGGTGTGCTGCCATTTATTCTCAGGGGCTGGGAGGTTCACTGTGGACTCAAGGCTGCCTCAACCTCAGAGTCCTCCCGATAGGACTAGACTCCTGGCAAGCCACCCACGCCCCTCTCCTATTCCTCTATGCCAGGTGGGCTCAGTCATAGGCTGCCAAGAGACCCAGTGTACTGCCCTCTGGGAGCCCCCTTCTCTGAGAAGGCTCTCAGATTCCCAGCTCCCCAGGTGCTCCCTGGCACCTGTGCTGTCTGCGTCTTGAGTCAGGGCCTCCCATTCATCTCTTCAGCTCTGAATCTGAGGCTTCCTGCAGCCATCTGGTCTCCCTGAGGCAGGCAAGCCAGCCGCTGCCAGAGGCAGGAGATGGACAAAGTGACAGGGTAGTTCCTTCAGCCCCCTGGCTCCTTTTCCTAGAGCCCCTCCTGCAGCCCAGGCCAAGGCATGTGTTGGGGCAGCAGCTGGGTGGGCTGAAGACTGAGATCAAGGTCCAGGAAAAGCATCCCTTTCAGCCCCTCTCCTCCATTGGCTAAGGGTGGCAGGAGACCCTTTTTGTATATGACGCTCGGGCCAGCCGTGTGACATATATTTGCATCTGTGTGTGTAGAGCAAAGTGGTATCTGTCTTGTGAGTGAGGGTCTGGGCCTTTAGAGAGCGTGTGTCACACTCAGTGTAACGGTCTGTCTGGGTGGGTGGAGATGAGGCGTGCATTTGTGTGGCGTGTGGAAGATGAGTGTGTTCTGGAGGGTGGATGTCTTCTGTCTGTCTGTCGGTGTGTGATATGAGGAGAGGTTGAGAGTCTCAGAGAAGCCTGCTTTGCTCCCTGTTGCCAGAGGTTGGCCCTCACTAGGTAGGAGTCCTTACTCTAGCGCTTGTGTGGGGCTGTTTAGCATGGAGAGGGTACACACTTTTGGGGAGGGAATCCCACATCCCGAAGAAACACCCCGCTCCCCCATGGCCAGTTCCCAGTGCCCCTACATGCCCAAATAGACGGTGATATAATAGCCTCCAGTCCATGTGGGCACCCCTTGCCCTGGCAGTGCCCCCCAGATCAGGCTGGATGAGTTTGCATCTAGAACCTCTTCCCCCTCGGGCCTCTAATATCCATATCTGTGTACAGTCAAGCTGGTTCCCACGGGGCCACAGGAGGCAGGAAGGAGAACACCACTTTCTTTTGTCCTGATAGGAGCCCCCCCTACCTGGATGCATTTAAGAACTGAAGTCTGGGAGCGCTCTGCCCTGCCCCCACCAGAAATACCACTCCCCTACCCTGTGCCTGGAGCTGGAGAGGGGAGCGAGGGGCGCCCTGCCAGGATTCCCCAGCCTGCCTGTGCTGGTCTACATCAGGCATTTGGTTTCCATTTCCCAGCTCATTAGAGGGGACCCAACCCTGATGTGAGACCTGATGGGGCTGGGGGCTGGAGGCCGGGTTTTCCACTGGCAAGAAGGCAGCCGGAGTGGGGGGGGGGGGGGAAAAACATGGGGTCCTGGACCGGCTCCATGTCCAATTCAGGGGGCCATGTCCAGTCCAGAGAACTGCCTGCTCCCCGCCCATTAGGCCCTTTAGGCCTCAGAGGTCTGACCACTGTAGTTCCTTCAACTCCTTCCAGGAAAAGACCAGTTGGTCCTGGTCCCCTCTGCCCTCTGGGCAGGTTCTACCCCCCCACCCCATCCCCAAGTGCTCCAGGAATGGTCCGAGGTATGCAAGACTTAGGGGCCAGCTCTTTCCCTCTATGGGCTAGGGGAGGAGGGGACACATGGCTCAGGGTACATGACCCAGAACCATTCCAAGCCAGAGAAACGCCCCCTGCATTCCAGACTCCGATGGCCAGGCCACCTCTGACCTATAGAGAGTCCTGAGGAAGTGGCTGGGAGACTGACTGGCAACCCTGAGTCCTCCTAGGGAGGAGAGGCGGGCAGGGACGGGCTGTGAATCCAGGGAGGACAAAGGGAAGAAGGTACATTCCAGGAGGGAGGGGGAACAATGGGGCCTAAATAAGTGGGGGAGAGGCAGTTGAACCAGCTTTGGGCATAGATGAGACGCCCCCTCACTCCCGCCCCCCGCCCCCCGCCTCCCCCTTTCTCCCCAGCCAAGGGTCTAATTAGAGCCTCACTGTCAGAGTGACCTGTCCCCTCCATGTCTGAGGCCCCAGGCTTGGGAGGGTTGGGTCAGAGAGTAGACGTGGGGGGAGGCTGCTGCAGATAATTAGAAACACACTGACTGAGTAAGCCGGCGCCACCAGGACCACCTCTCCCCTCCCTTCCCTTCCTCTTCCCCCAGGTCCCCAACCCCCTTTCCCAGGCTCTGGACAATTGCAGCTGGAATGAGGGAGGGGCTGCTGGAGGCTGGGAGGGGAAGCCTGGTGGGACTGGCTTCCTGGGCCCTTACACGGTCTCCAAAGTGCAAACAACATATTTTCGCCATGCAATGCTATTTAATTACACATAAAAACAGAGCCATTAAACTGAAATTAAACCCATGTTGGAATCACTTAATTCAGGGCATGACAAATTGCTTTCAGTGGAGGCAGCACTGCGGTCCCCTGGGGGAGATGGAGATTAGCAGCAGTCCTGGCTGGCCTGCTCCCCGCATTCCTTCAGTTGGTTTCCCTGCCAGCTCTGAATTCTGAAAGTGGGGTCAGCTCCTTCTTGCTCAGACCACCCAAGCCAAGGGGACGCTCCGAGGTCTGTTCTGCATGGGAGGAATGGAGAGTTGGGGGATCAGAATCGCTGGCCACCACCATGTCCTGGAACCCAGAGGAGTCCCAGGGGTACCACGTTTATGCAGAACAACCTGGATTGGAACTCTAGCTTCAAGTCATGGCCAGGGAGGCAGCTGTTTGAGGCTCCAATCCTAGAGTCGAGCCGGAAAGAGAGGTTGGAGGTAGGCAGGGAGGGGGTGTGTGTGGAGAGGGGGGTGAGGGCAACCAGAGAC